GAAACTATGATTACAAAATTGCACATGCACTCATTCCAAGAGCGGTTTTATTTTTTTCACACTAATACACAGCCAGAACTGCATGATGAGGCACCATCATGTATCCTTTAATAAGTTACACGTTGTGAACACCATCAAATGAAAGAGTAATTGTACTGGAATACAGTTACTCTGTACTAGTATTCAGAATATGTATTTTCTTTACATGTATTTAGTTACTTCCCAACTCTGACTGTGAAACATTCTAGGCAAACAACAATGAAAGAAAAGTTACATAACACACCATTACTCTTAAGCTTGTTTTCTTTCTATACATTTCTTATTAAAAACACCAATTAATTGATAGGAATACAAGTTCTGAGAGAGGGATACCAACATTCAGCAAGCAGAAATAAACAATATTTTACACATGAGAGTGTATTTTCTACATGAGAAGACAGAGGCAGCAGGTTACATCACTGTGGGAGGTTTAGCCATGATTCACTCTGTAGAGTATAGACTGACTGCATGGTGCAATGGCTTATGGGTAAAAACAGTGGGATCAGCGGAGTGCTTTTTACATCAGCTACAAGCTATGGCCATGAAAAGTGAATTATTTAATGTGGGTTTGAAGTTAAGGTGGGAGATATATGAAATAACTGATAATATTGCAAATGCTGTTTTGGAGATATGCAAAAGGAATATTGAGAAGAGCATATTGTCTGCAGTGAAAATGATAAAAAATAATGTTCAGGGTAATCTTTCACATGAAGGAATAAAGTGTTATCGCTGATCCTTGCAATAATTAAAAAGATATATGAGGAGAGATCCATTTTTGTCAATACTACCCACTATGAATCGCGGACTGGCTTATATAAATCTTACATTTTTTTTATTACATAACCAGATCTTCCAACAGTTTAGTCAGTAGTAGGCTCATCAAATATCAATACGTACGAGATACTAATCTATATCAAAACTGAAACTAGATTGAAACTCATTTGAACAAGTATTAATACCTGTAGAGGCGAATTTGCCCCATGCAAACAGCTACTAAATGTTGAAGGTGTAGAGAAGTTTTTAAGCCCACGTGTCTTCCAAAGAACCAAAAATAATCTAGTGAGGTTGTTAAAATTCATTTATTTGGCTCACCTTTGCCATAATAACACATGGAGCATTTATAGACACTGTGAAAAATCATATGCTTCTGCGCTTTCAAACACCTGGTGCCGATTTCCTGCCCTCTTTATACCCGGGGTTTCACTCCAAACAGCAAACCAGTGTCCCACAGGAACTGGACATGCACAGGAAAAACAGAAAGACAGAAAGACAGAAAAACAGAGAGACAGAGAGACAGCCAACAATGACAAGCTCCACGATCCTGAAAACATCTGAAACAGGACAAAGTTACACCTTTACTCAATAGATATAGATAATGAAAGAAAGATAGTGATAGATAGTGATAAAGAGAGAAATAGATAGATGATAGAGAGATAGACAGTGATACATGATAGATAGATGTGATAGACAGACAGACAGACAGACAGATAGATAGATAGATGATCGATAGTGACTGATAGAGATAAATAGTGATAGATAGATAGATAGATAATAGAAGATAAATAGATAGTGATAAGAGATAGATAGATAGATAGATAGATAGACAATAGTGATAGATAGTGATTGATAGATAGATGATAGAAGATAGATAGTGATAAAGAGATAGATATATAGATGATAGTGATAGATAGATAGATAGATAGATAGATGATAGATAGATAGTGATAGATGTCGATAGATCGATAGATAGATAGATAGATAGATAGATAGATAGATAGATAGATAGATAGATAGATAGATAGATAGATAGATGATAGTGATTGATAGATGTGCTAGTGATAGATAGATAGATAGATAGATAGATAGATAGATGTGATAGTGATTGATAGATAGTGATAGATAGATAGATGTGATACTTTATTGTCTGTCTGAGCAGCTGAGTTTTTTCTTTGATAAGGCACAACATTCATCATAAAGACATACAAAAACACACCACAATAATATAAATAAATAAAAATTACAGCGTGTTCATCTGGTGGAGTTCAGAGCGGCAGTGGCATTTGGAATGAAGGATTTTTTGTACATGTTTTTCCAGGCCAGAGGAACTTTGTACGTCTTGCCTGATGGTAACAGTGTGGAGGAGTTATGGAGCTCAGTGATGTGAAGAGAAGGTCACGAAGGGTTATATATGAACTAGTGTAAGAGCAGAGTGTAGTATTAAAGTAGAGCTAAGAGGTTTAAATGTGGCCTATCATTTTCCTTGTCTTGTGCGAGGCCTTCAATAATGTCTCCATACCAAATTGAAATATATGGCATAATGAGTTTAATATATATCCATTATTTCTATTAAGTTCTGTTTTGGGCACAATTGACAAGATGTGTGGGTGTGGTCCACTTCAAGGCTACTCAAGAGGAGCATCTCTTAACAGTAGACCTGATATATATTTGATGTATACACTTTGCATAATAAAATAAGATGACATAATGGAAGCAAGAGTTATAAAACACATCTGATGTATTACAAATGGACAGTCAAAAGCCTATCTGAAGCACTAAGGAGTTACTTTTTACATTTTTTATTTGGTTGTTTAAAACATTGTTTCCTAAAGACTGGGTCATGACCCTCAGGTGGGTCGCAAGAGATTTTTTTTGGGTCACCTTGTCACGATCTGCATGTAGGTCTGCAATATTCAGCTGTATACATGGATCTGTGACCTTATCATCATTCTGGATGAGCATTTGGTCTCTGGTCAGTATTTCTGTGCTTATTCCTTTCACTACTACATACATGTGTGTGAACTGGGATTTTCTGTGCTCACAAAAATGAAGACAAAGCACAGAAACAAACTGAATGCTGCACCTGATCTGCGCGCTGAGCTCTGCTCCTGCAGCTGAAACACACTACAAAAACACAGACAGGCCCAAATATCTCATTAGAAATGCTGAAATGTTAAAACATGTTTTGTATAATTTCTAATCTTTTTGTAATTATTTTATTGTTCCAATATTGCTGGTTCAATTGAATGTTAAAAAGAAAAAGAAATGGGCTACATTTATTGTCGAAATTGGCGACTTATGGATCCTTTTATTGTTGGTTCAATGACTGTTTTTCATTGTTTAAAACCTGAGTAATACTAACTGTTTAGAGAGACACAATCACTCAGTCAACAATAAAATATCCTCATTAATGTTTAATAATGGTCAAATCCACCTTTATTTTGTGATTTACGAATAATGTCTATTGACTTGGGTCGCAAAGGTTTGTGATTTTTAAAATATGAGTCCCCAGAAAAAAAGTTTGGGAAACACTGATTTAAAAGCACTATGTAACTTTTCTGCTGGGGGGTCCACTATCTGCATGTTTCCATGGAGATTGTGATGGCATTAAATTAGACAATCCTACATTTATTCAATTACAGGTGCTAAAATATAGCTTAAAAACACACGCATTCTTAATGTGTGTGGGGACACCTCTCCACAGACTTGACCTGTAACTTGGCTTGATGGTGTCACCTTTTTGGTTCAACAGAGATCGATAAGATTAATGCCATACTGCGGAGCTTTCAAGGCAAAGCAATAACATCTCAGGAGACAAGCCGTCGGCAGATCCTTCCTCCAGAAAAGTTGGGCTTAGTATTTTTAGTTCTAATAAAGTTTTTACTCTCCTCGGCATCACCGCAACCACTTCCATCGTCCAGACCCCGGGGCGAAGACATTTCCTAAACGTCGTCTAAGTGGCCACGTCCTTCATCACAATGTCTACTGAGGTCTGAGTGCCAAAGCTAACTCATTCAATAAAACTACTAATACTTTCTCTTTGCCTGAGTCTCTCCAGGTTGAAATTACAAGGCAACAAGGGAACCTCTGTGAAGCTGGGCCCCCCATCAAACACACACCTACACACAAACTATGTCAATTGCCATTTCTGCTCCATTTGTGATGTTTTGTGCTGCAAAACTATTAACAATTCTTTCATAGGTCAAATTGTGGTCAGCCAGTCACCCAGAAAGCTTAAAAATGCTCTAAAATAGCCAAAAATGGTGTCAATAGTTTGTGTTTTGTTTGTGCTATTATGGTTCTTAAGATATTAGCAGTTTTAGTTTTATCCAATGATGTCATTCAGCCTTTGAAAATGTTAAATAGCCTCAAAACAGCAGAAAATTATACAAAACATTTGTATTTTGTTTGTGTTCTTTTGTGCTGTGACAATTTTCATTTGTGCTAGTATATTTCTAAAATTATTAATTATTATTTTTGCGTAAATTATATGACGTCATTTCCGCTCTGCTGATGGCGACAAACTCTGGAAAACTAGTCAAAATATATGATCTCAGGCTGTGAAAAGTATGTATTATTATAAAAAATATAAAACAAAAGCAAGTTACTAAAGACTGACTGTGCTGCAAAAAGTTTTGTTGTTTTGTTTGTCTCCATCTGAAAAACTAAAGCAGCACAAAACGGCACAAACAAAGCACAAATGATTGAGATTGTTTTTGTGTAGGTTCACGTTTGATGGGGGGTCAACTTCACGCAAATAACAAGGGACCCCCCTCACCCACTGCAAAATCAAATCAACATCAGTAATCATTTTAATTTCCAAAACTTAGAATCAGGCTGAACTGTATTTGAATATGATAGTGCGTTAGAGTGTATCATCATTTTAAAACCATATCTTCCAAGTCCTCTCATGCCCTCAGCTCAAAGCCCAACCCTCACTTTAAAAACCACTGTAATAAATGACTTACTTTTCTTTTCACTTTTGCAATTTCAAGTTTAATAGAAGAGCCTCTCCACATAACCCATATAGAAGAAAAGTGTTAGTTGTACTTGTGAATATGAATTGTCCCGCTGTGGTAATGAAGTCATCATTTGAATTGCACTCGTCTGCTCAGTAGATGGTGCTAGTCCTCTGCAATTGATTTCCACCCTCTCACTCTCAGCGCTGCAAAAACAACAGCCCATTGCATTTAAATTATATGTTTATTTATTCAACATATGGAAATGACAATGCAAACTTTATATAACTTGATACATCTTAAGAAAATATGAGTTGGATTCAGAAAGAAAAGGTGAATAACGCGACCAGAGGGAATAAAGCAGCCAGTGGAGCGTGGAAACTGCTTTGCATATCTCAGACTTGTTACGTAACAAGAGTGACTCCTGCAGGATTGGCACAGTGGCGGCTGAATCATTAAGGATCTCCCCAATCGCACTTCACTTCACTTGGGGAAAAAGAAAAAAACAAAGCAAAACTTATTTTTAAAAGTCAAAAAGTCCCAGACAAACACTTCAGAGGCGTCACTAAAAGTACATTTATATGCTCCGTGAAGCAAGAGGGTTTACTTCAACAATATTGTCATTTTCAAAGTGTCAGACTTTGTTCCAGAAGCGGCAATAGATTTGTGAATTTGTGACATCGGGGCACAAAACCAGGACTAAACCAGGACTAAACCAGGACTAAACCAGGACTAAACCAGGATTAAACCAGGACTAAACCAGAACTACACCAGGTTAAATCTAATGAAAGACTAAATCAGGACTGAACCAGGGCTAAACCAGAACTATACCAGGGCCAATCAAAGACTGAACTGGGACTAAACCAGGATTAAACCAGATTATATCCAGGGCCAATCAAAGATTGAGCCAGGACTAAACCAGGACTAAACCAGGACTAAACCAGGACTAAAACAGGACCAAGCCAGAAGTATACCAGCCTTAATCCAGGGCTAAACCAGGACTAAATCAGAACTAAAACAGGACTAAACCAGGTTAATTCTAGGGTTAATTCAAGACTAAACCAGGACCAAACCAGTTCTAAACATGGGCTGAACCAGAAGTATACCAATCTTAATCTAGGACTAAACCAGGACTAAACCAGATTAAATATAGGGCTAATCCAAGACTAAACCAGGACCAAATCAGTTCTAAACAGTGGCTACAACAGAAGTATAACAGGTTTAATCCAGGGCTAAACCAGGACTAAACCACGAGTAAATCAGTGTTTAGGACAGTAAACCTGGACAATACCAGGACCAAGATAGGATTTAACAATGTTCTACTAAAATGTATATGAGTATTTCAAACATTCTGTATACAGTTTAGAATATAAAAGTACAAAAGTGTGAGAAGCCCACAGCACGCAGACAAAGGCATCATAAGGAGTCCATGTTCAGAGCAGCTTCCTCTTGGTTCAAGTGTAGCTCAGAGCGTTAACAAGTGTCCAGGAATGTACAGGTGTTTTTCAGTGCCAGAAAAAAGTCTCAGTAACGATCAATTCACATAAAGACAGGAGGGTTTTTGTCCTTTGGAGGTTTTTCTGCAAATTTGCTTCCATTATATTAATATGAGAAAAAACATAATAATTAAAAAGTGCACTGTAAATCTTTTCTTACATGTGTTTTGTTGCTAAAAACACGTATTCCTAACTCTGAGTGAAGTTACCCATCCACAGCTCTGATCTGTAACTTCGCTCCAGCAGAAAAGCGACACAGTGCACCTTTAAATATGAAGTGTCTCCAGCGTTTTGATGAACACAGGTGCAGCTTCTATGAAACTAACCAATTCAAAAAGATCCACTTGTGTTTGAAGTCAGGTTCATTTATTCTCTCTGTGCATATTACCAGGGGAATCCAATTTATATTTATTTTTCACAACGAACTCGGCAAGTGGAAAAGCACCATGGAAGCATCTAGGAGCGTTTTTTATAATATTTTTATTTTACCTTCAAGTATAAGTTAAGTGAATTTTGATAAACTCATAAACCTGAGACTTTTTCAACTCACTAAATAAGGCCAACTTTGTATATGCTTTACAATCTTAATATATCTCAATTAGTATCATACAGTTTAAATATTAATGTGCATTTTCCTCCCATGATTGTTTTTTATTCTATTATTATTATAGTTGTAAGTGATAATTACAGCAAAATTATATGCAGATTAATATAAATTTTTTATCTTGTGCAGTTGTGAATGGAGAAGTGAATATATATGCAATTTGTGCACAAACAACTAACTCCATACACAACACGAGCTGTTTTGAGGAGTGTGAAAAATGCCTAGTTACTGTAACAGGTAGTAAGTACTCTGTATATTCTATCGTCAAGGTTTTTGCTGCTCAGTGCTGCCCCCTGCTGCACTAGCGTGAGCAGTGGCCTCATGGTGCATCTGACTGAGCAATTTGACGAGGCTCTCCAGTTGCGGGTTTCCTCCTAGCTCTTTAATCAATCTATACGCCTCTGCCTCCAAATCCCATAGAGTTTTCCTCGTATACTCAAAGGATCCCACTTTCTCCAAATAATCCACACAGTATTTCTTTATATCCATGTTTTCAGTCCTCTGTCGTAAAATGTTTTGAACCTGCGTGCTTTCAGGACAGGACCAGATCGCGTGGATAGTCGGGAAGGAGAACTTGCCCTCTGTTAAATCTTCACAGAAGCTTTTATTTTCGCTGTACTCCTTTGAACTCAAGTTGGCGTAATCATCCCGAATCTGGAAAAACAGCCCCAGTGTATCCAAAAGCGGTTTAAGATCGTGCTTCCACTCAGAGAACAGTTGCATTAGCCCGACCGCTAACCCGAAGAGTCCTCCAGTCTTCTGCAGCACCATGTTTCGATACTCGTCTTCAGTGGGGCAGGTGTAGGTGTCTCTCCAGAAGATGTCCAGCCCTTGTCCTCTGTGGAGCTCCAATAGCTGACTGGTAAATACCTTGACGGCCTCGGGGTGGTCTAGTGTCAGGACCTTCTCCAGACCCAGGAAGTAGACGTAGTTGGCGGAGTTGATGACGGAGGGGATGCCGTAGATGCTGTGGGCCACGGGGAAGCCTCGCCGCAGCTTTGAACTGTCCTCGATGTCGTCGATCAGCAGACTGGCATTATGCAGCATCTCTGTCACTTCTATGATCACCTGGAAGCAGAAAGAGAAAAAGCATTTCATTTTTCTTTTTCAGATTAAAAAGCTTAAAAACAAGGCAAAAAATATATACACAATTTGTATATACAAATGTTTTAGAACACCACACTTTTTCCAGTTTTTTACTGTTTACTGTTGACCAAAATGTATTCTAAACTTTTGATTCATCAAAGTGTACACCTTTGGCAGATATAACAGCTGAACACACTCGTGGCTTGTTCTTTTTACAATAGAAATCAAATATTTTTCAGAAAGTTCTTCCCAAGTCTGTTGCAGAAGTTCTCATTAATGTGTAGCACTTGTAGGTTGCTTGGCTTTCACTCTTCTATCTAGTTCACCCCAAACCAGCTCGATGGGTTTAAGTCTGGAGACTGTGCTGGCCACTCCATGTTTTCAACTTTACTATATTGTTCTTTTTTCTGAGGTAGTTTTGGCAGAACTTGGACTTGTGTTTTGTTATCTTTTATCCTTTTTTAACCTGTGGCTGTTCAGTACTTTGTTGTTTGTTGTACAATTTCAAACTATTTATTGGACTTGCACGACTTGAATTGCAATAAATAACTGGAAAAATGAGGGTGTTCTAAACTTTTGACCAGTAGTATATAACCAAACAAAAAAGATAACCAAAACGAGTTATTTTAATTCAAGCATTTACCATAAAGGCTAACTATTACAACCAATACAAATAAATAATTCACAGGCATTAATTGACCAGGCAGCAACCTATTGACCCTGCAAACTTTTAAAGTCCAAACTATCATTCGCTTTAGAGCTAGGAATTTTAAAACAAGTTTTGATAATAAATCTGAATGGTATGAAAGATAGATGATATTTAAAGTGTAGGGAGTACAGTAGAGTACAGTAGAGTAGAGTAGAGTACAGTAGAGTACAGTAGAGTACAGTAGAGTACAGTAGAGTAGTTAGTATACAAGTATAACAGAATAAATAAACACTGTGAAACATAAATTGCTACAAAATCAATTTAAATCAGAATAGTAAAACAAATTGCCATTTTAAACATTTGATAACTGAAAGAAAAAAATAGAGTCAAAATAGTTGAGCAAAGCATAGAAATTATGATTTTTGTGAACAAAAAAGGCGCTGATCTCTAAAGACTCTGGCCTCACTTGCACTTGTCTAATTATAACAGTGTCATGCTATGAGTTACGCCATTGCTGTTATGTGACTAGACTGTGCATTACACATTTTGTCCAGAAGAGGGCGCCACCATTACACCGTGCTGCTCGGCTGTGTTGAGTGAGTCTCGGCAGTAGCAGACTCAAGAGTTCACTCTCTCACAGACAGATGGAGCACAGGAACAGTAATACAGCTTACAGACACTTTCACTATGGCCTGCCTGTAAACACAATGTTTCAAATACCAAGCATTCCCATGTTGTCCTGCTATAGATCTGCCTAGACCTAGTTTACTTATGGTTTAGTCATGGTTTGGATCTGTCTAGTGCTAACTGGTTACTCCTTATGAACAGTAGACCCCATTTAGTCCAGGTTTACAGCTTGATGTTTTGCTTGCCTGGAATGTTCCACAGTACACAATTAATTTGACCCATCTACATGAGGACATCAAAAACCCAATTTGTAGGTGAAATCTGTGAAAAAACAATCCCCATTCACAGCAGTAATGCATGTTTTTCTAGATATTTTTTTGAAAGTTTATTGTCATACTGTGGAAAATTTCAGGCCAAGCAATAAGTTAGGTAGTGCACCTTTACATTTATTTGCCTTGTTTTAGTGCACTTAAAATGCTGATAGTTCAAGAAGAGCCCTTATTGAGTCTAGTTTTAGTCCCAGTCTTGGTTAATATCTGATACAGTCCTAGCCTAGGCCTGGTTTAGCTTGGTCAGGTCCTTCCATTCACAGTAAATGTACTACAGTATAAACACAGTGAGGACCTTTAGCACAGACAGAGGGCATCAGAGGGTCACATGGTCAGGCAGTCACAGCAACAGAGCCTGGCCTAGTGCACTCTCACCTTTTTCAGACACAACACTTACAACAGGAACTGAGAGCTCCACCTCACTCCAACGCCTTTATTAAAACACAAGTCTATCTACAGCACATTTACTGCACCAGCGAGAACGTGAAGAGGTAATTTATAAAGCGCAGATGCACATCAGGAGAGCTACAAGCGATAAGAAGACTTGTGAGACTTTTGGTTTAGATTGTTTTAAAACTATTCTTTTAATGGAAAAGCAGTAAGTGCAAAAGATAAAATGTAATTTGATATGTTCTAGTGGGATTGCTGAGGCATGATCTTGAACTAAGCAGTTGATGCTACCACTGTGAGTAATAACACGCATCTCAAACCTCTATCAGAACCAGTATTAACTTCTTAAAGCAATCTGAGTAGCATCTTTCATGTCACAACACAGTTCCTTCTTTGGACAACTTTTGATAAATATTGACCACTGTAAGTCAAGGACACCCTACAACAGCTGCAGGTTTTGGAGAAGTTGTCACTATGTCACTCAATTACTACATCGAAATATGTGCAATTATTTTAGAAATATGTCTTCTATAAATCAAATATTAAAAGATTCTTAGAGTCTCCTCCTGACGGGTTGATCCAGCGTCATGAAAGGATGGGTCAAATGCAGTGGACGAATTTTTCTCTGAGGAACTTATTATAGAAAACCTACTCTGTAGCTTAGACCTCCAAAGTTTTCTCAAATGCCAGTGATTCTTGTATTAGTTTAACCTCATAAACTAAAAGTGAATGTTGCTGATTTATTACACACACACAATTTTAATAAACCCAAATCTAATAAAAACTGCAATTTTTGTTTATGCGCTTGATGCAGTAAAACAATTATAATTTTAAAAATTTTAGAAAACTGTTCTTTCTTCACTTTGTCAATCTAAATTTTTCCAGATTCAGTTCACCTGTGTGATCATAATGTTATGGCCAATCAGAGTGTGTTTTTGGCTGTCCAGAGTTGGCTGCACACCCAGTCTGGAGTGCAGCCCTGGTTTAAACACAAGTGTGGTGTTTGTAGTGAAAGCTGCTGGTGCGATTCCCGGAGCACAAAGCCTGGCTCAGTGGGTCAGGCAGACGGCCAAAGCTCAGACGCTACAGCAGTTCACCCTCCGAACACAACCTTTTACTGAGAGAGGGGCCCCAAAAGTACCACAGAAGAGATTAAAACAGACTGGAGATACAAGAAATGATACTTGATTTTTGAATATTTCATATCAAAATAAAATGCTGCTGTGAAGAGCTGTTGTTTAGCAGATTGGCAGCCTCAGTTCTGTCAGTCTACCCTAGGACAGCTGTGGCTACACAAGCTTACCACCAGCGTATGGTATGAATGAATAATGACCACAGTGCAGAGCTTTAAGAGGCTTTGACAAGCCTAGAAAGTGCATTACAAATTTAAAGCATCAATATTATTGTCAAAAAGCTGCAGTGATTCAAACTGGGATATGGATATTTCTGGTTAATTGAATGGTCTGTTCATTTTTGTGCAGCACTTTGAACATGAACTCCATTTACTGGTGCCTTAAAACACATGGATTGGCAAACCTTGTCAGAATAAAGAGTTTTTTGGTCAATACTCCCCATCCCTACATGGAGGCATGTCTTATGAGGAACACAAAACATCCTCTGACTAAAACTGACTAGACAGGTGAAGTAGTTGTAAAATTGCAGATGAACTGTATACAGTAAATAGTAGAACTACACTAGGATAACGTTTTTTATAGATGACTGATGGTTTGTTGGCAAGATATTGTCACACATTAGGAGTTGAAGAATACAGGAAATAATTTGAGGGTGTTGAAGTTAGGGACGCAAGAAAACTCAATTTAACATAGAATTGTTCAATACAACCCTCACAATACACGCGTGACTCAACATACTCATGGTGCTACTACAGTGTGTTAATCATTCCATAGTTTTAAGTGTGCAGAATAGCTCCATAAAGACCAAACTGCAGTATATATTTAAAACAGAAGAGATCGTTGCCTCCCTAGTTTGAGTAACTGTTCTGGCCCATTTCCCTAGTCCATCACACCAGTCCATCACACCAGTCCAAAATGGCTTCAGTAGAAGTGATTTACAAATGAAACACCAGAAGTTATGGTTGATGTAATTATGACATTAAAAACGTTACTGTATGCAGTATTCCCGACCATTTTGGGACAACAGCACTGCCAATAAACTATAAATGTTCATGATTTTCAATGATCATGCCAAGAAAAGTGATTTTGTGTTGGTTTATATAGAGACAAGAGGCTTAATGGTTTGTTTTCAGATCAACAGGTGTCAAAGCTCAAATGAAGAGAGACATTCTCATAAACACTGCTGCCAATCCTACATTAAAGCAGCTGATTTTTACCCCAGCACAGATAAATTGTAAATGCAACTCTTACAGGATAAAACTAATGCTGTCTGGATCTAATTATAAAGTGTTTTATTGTCCAGAGAATCAGGAAGTGTGCTGCTTGCATACTAGTGTTTCTTAGCATTACTGTTATGGCAAAATGCCATTCTGGCCTCTGAAAGTTGAAACAAGTGCTTAGAAATGGTCAGTGGTTGCATTTAAATATTGCTTTTCTACCTTGAAGGCTCTCAAATTCACACACACTCTCATGTATCCATGTACGCAGACTATGGGGGCAAGGTGGGTCAAGTGTCTTGCCCAAAAACACAACGGATGCAGTCATCCGTGGAAACTGGAATCACATCGGCAACCTGTGGGTCAGTGGGTCTGACCGCTCTATCAATGCTTTTATGTTGAGAGCAGGATTCAAACTATCAACCTTAAATCAGAGGACGAAAAATTTTTAGTGCTGGAAACGCATGAGAAAAGTGTGGAATACAATTATAACATCATTTGTTTTTCATGGTTAAGAAATGAGGTACAGCATATTTAACAAAACACCAATAAATGTATGTAAACAATCACTGATATAGAACAATGAAATATGCAAAGTCACTTCAGTCCACAGGAATCAGAGTGTTGGACTTTGTCA